AGAGTAACCCGGCTCCACCCAGGAACCAATCATAAAAGGAGTCCTATTCCGCGCGTATGTTTCCGCGCTAGTATTCAACACTGTGCAGTTAGTTTGTGCTTCAATTTATTTAACGAATCCCCAAATTGGGCTGAGTAAACCATTTTTGAAGCAAGAGTGGTTAGTAGGTTGTACAATTGTGCTCTAATTACAGTTGTCTTGTTGTGAGGATACCATTTAAAAAATAAAGATGGAATATAAGGCGACATTGATGATGATAGTGAGATAATAAACCTGGCAGGGTCAATTCTGTATAGCCTAGCCTGGGAGGAATGGAACTATGTATGTAGACTGCAAAAGGCTAGAGATCTATCCTTGGTCAAATATTCTACCAATATTTGGCACCCATTGAAAAAGACATTGGGTAGGAAGATTATCAATTCAAGGAACACACCTGTTTTTAAAGAAGGGGGAAATCTCTCTGTTTTCATAAAGTATAAGGTAATGAAAGAGCTAACCACAAGCAAGAGGATTTTCAAGAGGCTGTTACAATAAAATATTGACAACTTTGTGTTTATCACTAAGAGTGCATGACTCACCAATGCCAATTAGGCACTAACATGATGGGGACAGCTGGAAAAAATCATTTTTGTCTTCATGACTTTTGTTGAAAGATGGCATAACAGATGCAACTAGATTTTATGAGCTTTCAAATGAATAACAAAAGCTGGGGATAGACTATAGAGAAACATAACAAAACAATCACATTTTACACTTTTATTTGGGTTCTGAATGACATTACAGATAAAGTACTTTAATCAAATACAGGAAGAACAGGTTGCTGTGGACTTCCCCCAGATACAACAGACAAGAGTTAATTTGAAAAAGAAAATCCTGTTAGAATTGTTCATATGAAAACACCATTTGTAGATCTTGGACTTGAACACCAAAATTCTATCTAGACTAAATATAATTGGAGACAATCCAAGCTGTAAATCACTGCCCCTCTTCTGTCTCCCTTTGATTGTAACAGGAACATTTGGGGTGACTTACAATCTAGCCATTGAACTGCTCCGTTATCTCAAAGTGCTCTCGCCAATGGTCTGCTCACTTCAGTGGAATGTATACAATTACCATCTGAAGAGAGATTGCATTAACCACAGTTTAATAGGTATTCAAATGTCCTGATCCATAAAGATGATCTGACTTCCCTCTTCCAATACAACTGATTGGGGGAAAGTTCTTATGCATGGAGGTTCTGCATTGTCCACTGGCATCTGCATAGTGACCCATGACTGGGGAAAGCTGGTCTAGATCACATAGAAGAGCTCTTAAACTCTTCAGCACATAAGCTTTAATGCCTAGAATTGAACACTATTTGTACGAATTAGCCAGAATGGAACCATGGTCTAAAGCAAGGAAGCAATAGAGAAACTAGAAAGGATGAAGTTCTTACGATATCTAGATTCAATACTGCTACTAAACACATATAAGAACAATTCATAATATATTGTACAAGCTTATACAGCAATATATGTCAATTGGCAACACTGTACAGTATGAAATCTAAAGTGCGCAATCTTCAGCTTGAGGTGGAAAAAAACTCAGCAAGATCATTCAAAAGGCAGCACAACTACAGACAGTTTTATCTCTTTTTTTTCCTATTTTGCAAGTTTACAATGAGTCACTAGTACGCAAAGTTATATACGTTCAATCAAATCATATTACATTGCATTTGTATCTTCAAGTATTTTGAGAGAGTGTAAAACAATATTGCTTTACAAACCCAGGTGGCCATGTTGCTTTTTAGTTAAAGCTAAAACCCAATGTTTAAACAGGGTTGTAACTGCAAATTGTTCCAGGATGTGAAACTGAGGAATGACAGATTTCATTTCCTCCAAGTTAGCCTTCCCTGACTCAATAGCCTCATGATGTTCTCTAATGCAGCACCCATCATCTCAAACCACTGGCCATAATGGCTAGGACTGATGGGGTTTGCAATCCCAAACATTTGGAGGGAAACACACTAAGGAAATCTGCCTGAAATATGGCTGATCGTGCATCCATAAAAACTAGATGGACCTTCATTTTGTTTCCTTAAAAAGAGGTATATGAACTGTGGACAGAATACTGATTATCATAATCACACATTTATATTAAAATAGCACTCTGGTATATTTTGAAATTCCATAACACTATATAAGATAAGCTGGTTGTAGTATTCCCATACAATTGTTAGGGGCTAAACCTAAAACCCAGTAGCATGGTTGAATCCATTTACAAATTACATTAGAAATAATTCAGGGCAGATACTTCTCTGCTTTGTATTTAGTATCTTTGTCATTATGCCAGGGCAATTATAAAGAGGAACGTAAATAGTACGGTAGTTAGGAGCTGTCTAAGAGCTTAGATGTGGAAAACCAATTTCAAATAAATGGATTCAATGTCTTGGACACATCGTTCATAAGATCACATAGATCTACTGGGACATTAGCAGCCAGTCTATGAAAGGAAATGTGGTCATAGCAGCAGTTACAAATATCATAAGTAAAAGTTATTTCCAACTGGTGCTGCCTTCAACAGCACTGGATGTCTTCTCAAACTCATGACTCCTCAAGATGTTCGACCGCCAATCCTTAGAACCTGATGTGGATCTTTGCTGTTACTTGAACTTCCTTACCAGTGGACTGGCCTTTTCAGAACCTAAAATATTCATATTTTCTTCAGTAGATCTGAGAAATATGAGTACTGTAGTATAATTAATTATTCTGAAGTGCACCCTTTTTTGGGGGAGGGAGAAGGCTCCAAACGGAACCCTAAGTTTACTCCCAGAAAGCAGTCTGCAAAGATTGTGCTTCTATTTAGCTAGGTCATATGGGAAAAATCATTAGGAATAGCAGCATTTTGTGATATCATTATTTTCGGTTTGTTTTCTTATACGCAGACATCTCTTGAGGTTCTGCAGTATTAGACTCTGGAGATATACAAGATAAAAGGACATGTAAAACAAACATTTCTTTTTAAGAATTTATGTGGGTTTATATCTCAAAAGAAGCATTGTTAAACATTTGATGCATTTCGTCTTAAGGAAAAATAAAATATTTCATTCTTATATTTATTATTTGTCCCTGCAGTTTTTAGAACCCATATAAAATAAAAAAATCTATATTTTACAAAATAGGATCTTTTTTAATATATATATTTATATATTTATATATTTCTTTTGTAAAATTAGATGTATTTAAGTACATCTGAATGTTGCATGTAAATTAGAAATTCTGTTCTAACAGAGTAAAAAAAAAAGATAAAAGTTACTCAGTTTTAATATGCATTTTTGCATTTTGTTTTTATGCTGCCCCACAATCTGTGGCCATTTGGGAACCATTGTTCTATTAGCTATTTTTAACAAAAGGAATTATTTTTTACTAATCACACTGATCTTTAGATATGATATTGTGAATATATATATGTATGCTTGATATGCAAAAATGCAGCCTTTTGTATACTATCTTCCTGGAAAAGAAGTTTTCGCAAACTCAAAGGGGAGAAGACAACTTTTTAAAAGGAGCAATGTTCTTGATTTTAAATTGTACTCTACTTTGACGCCACAATATAGAAAGAGAATCACTTTGGAACAAACTACAAATACATTCACCACAGTTTGTGACAACTTAATTGTCTACCTAGAGGTACTTCAGAAGGATATGGCAGATTATAGGATTACAAATCTTGCCCAAGGCGTTCTATTTCTTCAATCAGAAAATCAATGTCTTGGTGAGCTGCTGCTGGATTGGAGATAACCATGCGGAAAAAATTGACCTTGTCTCCCAGGGGCTGATAGCTAACCATCGTGGTTCCACACTCCATCATCCGAGCTTTAATTACTGGTGCCACCTTCAAAGATAAAACATGGAAAGCAAATCAGTACTGCACAGTCGCTTCCTTCTGATTGTTCTAGTGATGGATTCTGGGAAGGATTTTGGGATGAATGTACATCACTATTCAACAGAATGAGGAGCTCTTCAAATTCATTCAAACTGTTTTTTGAGATGAATAAATTAATAGATGTTACCATATCAATGCAACTCACTTCTGGAAACTCACCAAGTCCAAAAGACCTCTTCCTGCAATAATGTAAAATTTAGTACAAAGGTTGGCAATCTTGTATAATCCTGAACAGCACAATTCCATGACATGTTAATGGTCTGAAGACTGCCAACATTTCTGTGAGATTTCAGAAAATTTGGGTAAAATTTCACACTATGTGAAAAAACTTTCATGAAGTTTCAGAATTTTCATGTGAGATGTCAAAGCATTTTAACATCGTTTTCAAGGTTCACCAAGATCTCTGATCATCAAGTTCCTAATCTCTGCTCTCTATTGTTCACCAAAACATGTGACTTTGCTTCTGTAAAATCTACACAAAGATAGGAAATCTTGTGCCCTTAGGGAGTTTTACCTCCCATTAACCTCAGTTTAATTATTCAATGATCAGGACTGAAGAATTTTAGGCAAAACGGAAGAAGCACCAGAATGCTGATCCTTTCAGGATGAATTTAACACAAATCTTCATAGTGAGTTATAAATCTCTCTTCATTCTCCGCTGCTGCCAATGGACTGTGGAGTAATGGAAATATAATTTGTTTCATTTCATAATCAGGACTATCTTATCTTCCATAAACTGCGCAAACTGATCAATTAATTGGTAAGGGTTCCCTCTCTATTTAGAAGAGATTTGATAATAGTGAGGCACCATCCAGATACAAATGTAGGTCCTTAAAAATTGCATAGCAGAAATAGACTTCATTCTGTTCTGTTTTGTTCTGTTCTGTACTCTCTTTTACCTTTGAAAGACGGTTCATCCTTTCTTCATTGTCTTCTGTATTCCGTAAACTGGGAGGCACGTACCAGAAGCAAACATTTGTGTGTTGAGGCTAATGGAAGAACAATAATGGCAGTAAGCAAGTGTGTTTTCACTTTTCCCCAGGGTTGCCTTTCCTATGATTGTGATCAGTTAAAATGTTTTTCCTGTTTATTGACTTTGGTGCAGCACCGTAAGAATCACTAGCATAGTAATCAATGCATCTACTAATATTTCTTGCCTCTTATGCTGGGGAAATCATGTTTTACTACAAATATCTGTTTTCTTAAAAAGGTGAGATCCACCCCCAAAACAACCTAGGTCACACTAATGGTTAATTTTATCATACATTAGAAATGTCATGTTCTTGTTTTTATCTAAGTCTTCGTAGTTCACTGCCCATTACATGAGATGTATGTATACTGTTTAACAAAATGCTCTATTGTGAACCTGTAGAAGACATAATACAGCTATCCCTCTTAAAACAGAGGGACAGAGCTAAAGTACAAAAGCATTTATTTATACATACTGTAATGATGGGCATGAAAGAAAGGCTGAAATAATTAACTCCTTTCTTCTGGCATTGACGATTTGAAATGTAGTCTCTTTCTTTGAATTTCCAATGCCCTCCCTAACCAGTGAATTAGCCCACTGAGCACTGGGAAGTAATCATATATAGGGACTGGTTATCTGAAGGATCACCAGAGATGGTTTCCTGATGGTTCGGCCTGGATTGGCTGAACTGGTAGTAGCAGTGGTGGGAGGTTCCACCAGAGGTGGGTTCCTACCAGTTTGCACCAGTTCAGTAGAACCGGTTCGTCAAATCTACCGAACCGGTTAGAAGAGGTTCCACCAGTGGACCCGGAGTTCCACCAG